CCTCTGAAATCTCCTCTTGTCTGAAATGAAAACATAGCCTAGTGACAGAGAAAGCTGCCATCTGTGCAAATTAAAAGGTGAACAGAGGGTTGGACTGGACTGATGTTACAGCTGATGTGTTGTTACCTCTTTTCCTGGACTGTCCACCATAAATGGGCAGGTTTCTGTGCTGCTGCTCTCAGTAGAATACTGGAGAAAAGATGTTTTCTTTAAAAGATACACACTGATCTTTGGCTTACACAAAGGACAATGTAGTATTTTGTGCTGCAATATTTAATGGAAAATTCACTTTATGGACAATCAATATCGTAGACCATTTATAAAAACTGGACGTAGCCATCCATTTTATTAGTGAATTAGTGAAGCCCTGTGAGAATAATTCCATCTGAGAAATCTTTTTATACTGTTTGCTTCTTTCTCTTACATGTGTACAGGCAGTCGAGAGGCAGCGTTTGTGTATGCCATGTCCTCGGCAGGAGTGGTCCACGCAATCACCACGGCATGTAGTCTGGGGGAACTGAAGATTTGCACTTGCTACAATCACAAGCGTGGGCAGGACAGTGACGACAGAGGCACCTACGACTGGGGCGGATGCAGTGACAACATCAACTATGGAATAAAATTTGCCAAAGCCTTCGTCGATGCCCGGGAGAGTATGGTGAAAGATGCCCGCGCACTGATGAACCTCCACAACAACCGATGTGGTCGGATGGTGAGCCACACATTTCATAATATCTGAGATTACACAGGAGGGAGAATTCAAGGCATTTTTTAAACCTGAAGCTCTGTTGTTTTGGGTAATGCAGTACTGTCACGTAGGAAAGACAACAAGAACCAAAGTTTTATTGCTTTTTGTTGTTTGTTGTTTTGTAAACAAGTCACAGCAGATACAGAACAAAACCATAGGACCGACTGTGTCCAGCTGTTAACTCCCTTACAATTGTTTGGGAAGGAGTTTTGAAACACCAATGTACAAATGTCAACTTAATTAACATTAACGTCAAGCAGATTAACCAAACCCTCAATCTACCAACACAACACCGTTATGATGAGTCGTTATCAGCCGTTTCAGTTTCAGTGCTTTGAAGCTCTGCATTCCTCAAATAGTTCAAAAGAAGACAAATTGAAGAAGACACAGTGTAATAGAGCGAAAAATGTTTAGCTAACAACAGCATTGACAGAGTTGATCACACCTAAAGTCACGCCAAGAGCCTCATCACTGGCTTAACACCTCTTCACCTTTGACCTCTGCTCCAGGCGGTGAAGCAGTTCATGAAACGAGAGTGCAAGTGTCACGGGGTCAGTGGCTCCTGTTCTCTGAGAACCTGTTGGATGGCCATGTCTGACTTCAGGCAAACTGGAGACTATCTCTACAAGAAGTACAACAGTGCCATCGAAGTGACCATGAACCAGGACGGCACTGGGTTCAGGGTGGCTGAGCGCAACTTTCAAGGAAGCACCAAGAAAAAGTTAGTGTACATCGAGAGCTCGCCAGACTACTGCCTTATGGACCGTGCAGCAGGTGAGCATCAGTTTCTTTTATTAACGTTTTGAATATTTGTTCATCTTATAACATATCTGTAACGAACACTGACATTTTAAGGCTGCCTAGGTTGTCTGTAAGGCCTCACATTAATAGAAAATGTACAAAAAAGTAAACGTATCTCAATTCTATCATCTCACTGCTTGGTAGCCTCTGTGGCCCCATTTTATGTCTATTTCATTGCAACAAAAATTACAGTTACATTGATTAATTGAAGATCCTTCCACTGTTTGTTATACTTTTTTTTTAAGTATGGGGTTAGGGTGAGGATAACAGGTTAGTCAGGGTAACATTAGCTTTAAGTGTTAGTTCAGGGTTAAGATTAGGATAAGGTTAAGGGTTAGGATTAAAGTTACATTGCATTAGGGTTAAGGTTACATTGGGTTGGGGTTAGTCTGAGGTTTATTATTTATTATTTTGTTATTATTTATTTTTCAATTTAATTTTGAAAGTCATTTTATTTTATATTTCATTTTTTTGTTTATTGAAATCTTTTTTAATTTTTAAATCTATTTAAAAGTTTTGACTTACTGTATATTTTCTATTTATATATATATATTTATATGTATTTTGTTAATAATTTATACATAATAGTAATGGTAGTATTTTATATTTACATTTTTATTTTATTGCTTTACAGTTTTGTAATTTGTATTTTTTTTTCAAAATTGAATGTGTCTTTTAATTATTTTTATTACTCTATCACTTGGAGTTAGGGGTATGATTAGGGTTAGTTTGGGGTTTGTTAATAAATTTTTTTTTTAAATTATTATTATTTATTTTTACTGTTTTATTATAGTAATTTTAAACATTTTATATTTTTTTATTATTTAAGAAATGTTCTTAAAATTATTTTTATTATATTTTATTTTCATGAAAATGTATTTATATTTTATTTTATATTTTATCATTTTATCATTAAAGTGTTTGGGTTACTTTAGCGTTAGACTTATGATTACATTAGGTTTAAGGTTAAGGATAAGGTTAGTTCATAGTCCATTATTATATAATTTTCATCGTTAAATTAAATGTTTTATAATTGTATTTTTATCATTTACATTTGTTTTATTTTTTATTTTCATTTAATTTAATTATATAGTTTATGTATTATTTCTAAAATGTTATACAGTATCATACATATTATTAGGGTTAGGTTTAGGGTAGGGTTTTACTTAATCCCTTCACTACTACAGCTGTGGTCACGGTAAGCTTCAGCGCTGTCTTAACAGCGTCCGGGAGAGATTTGAGTCAGCGATCCTGTGGTAACGATCCCAAACCCCTTACTTGTCGCACATGGGCTGAGTGGTTTGATCACATAAACAGACATGTCAATGTCAATTTTATGACATTAAATCTTACAGTAAATTAATGATAATTTTGATTGTCTTGTATGTTAACATGACTTGAACACAGGATTGGTATGTGAACCATTTTTATTTCATCACTTGTTCAACCTTAGCAGCTCTGCAGTGTTGAACTCTGTCTCCCTCTCCTCTGGTCTGGCCTCTTCAGTGGAGCGTGAAGCACTAACTCACTGTTAATGGTTTAGTTCACATATCGTACTGTATATATGGCAGTGTCACGGGTTACTTATAACTTAAACAGAGTCTCACTCAGCTGTGGGCTTCAAGTCACCAAACTAGAGAAGGGAGAAAGGGCGTTGCTCCAAAGTAAAAACATCCTGGTAAAATAAATTTAAAAAATTGATTCTCGCCACTTATCTCCATCGTATAGGAATTTGCAGCCTAAGGACACAACAGGTTTATTTTTCAAATCCTTTCTTTGGTCACTACTAAGCTCCACTCCCTTCAGCCTGAGGGAAATATCTTCTCTTATCCCTGACTCTGCTCCCAGGGACGCTCTGTTATTAGAGGTGGCATCTGATCTTTGGCTCAGATTTTACACCTGAGTACATGGACACCTTAGTGTGTCTGGGTCTGAAGCTGTTCTGACAGCATGTCTGCAGGCCTTAGCGCTGCAGAGGAGAGGAGTATGGGAACATTTGTGGTTTGGTTTCAGTTTTCGGCCACATGGTTTTCCTCCTCTGTTTGTAGGCTGCTACCTTTAGCTTCCATTATTCCTGCAAAAGAACTGTATTAACATAGCCTCTAGGAGCGCTGTGGAGTATCTTGAAGTATCTCTTCTGTTGGATGAACTATGCCACATTAAATGTGACTAAATAAAAACATAGCATATTTGCATATTTAACAAAATTAAGCCTTAAAGCTTTGTAATTAATGAGAATATTCTGGAATATATCTTCATATGTTAATAATAGCTTGGTAATGAATTATTTTGGAATAATCTCATTTTTATTAAATAGCAATTATTGACAAAATGAGCAACATTTTTCCAAATGTAATGTAATTGAGCTGAATCTATGAACAGACTATCATACTATCGTACCATCTACTCTCGTCTTCTCACGTCATCTGGGACCCTTGTCCTAACAGTAAACGTGACAGAAGATGAATGAATAAAAACAGGGGAAATATATTAGAAAAAAACATGTTTTCCTTTTCTCCACAGGCTCCTTGGGAACGGCAGGCCGAGTGTGTAACAAGTCGTCCAGAGGCACAGACGGCTGTGAGGTCATGTGCTGCGGCCGGGGCTACGACACCATGCGGGTCAAACGTGTCACCAAGTGCGAGTGTAAGTTCAAGTGGTGCTGCGCGGTGGAGTGCAAAGATTGCGAGGAAGTTGTGGACGTTTACACCTGTAAGCCCCATAAGCGTCCTGATTGGCTGGACGTAACCTGACCAATCAGCCAGCGCTGAGTCCGTAACCCCCTCTGACTGCAATTTTTCACAAGACACTTCAGTGAAACTCAGGCTTTTCCTCTTTTAGCTCCCCCTGAGGTGAACACAGCAGTACTTTCTTTGCGGATGCTGAAGTGTCGAAGCTTTAGTTTTAACCACGCAGAGACTCTACACACAGTGGCTGGATATTATTGGTATTCTGTCAGTAAATCTGCACCATTTCTTCAAAAAGGACATGACTTAAAACTAATGATCATAATAATGATTATCATTATGGTAATACTGTATGTTTGTATTTAGTGTATTTAGTTGAAGGACTGATAATTTTTTTTTTCTCAAATATTAGCTCAAAACACTGATACTTCTTTGAAACACGAATTATATATATATATATAATTATAATATACAGCATATATACAGTCTATATATATATATATATATAATTATAATATACAGCATATATACAGTCTATATATATATATATAATTATAATATACAGCATATATACAGTCTATATATATATATATAGACTGTATATATGCTGTATATTATAATTATATATATATATATAATTATAATATACAGCATATATATAGATATATATCTATCTATCGATCTATATATATCTAGATATATAGATATCTATATATCTAGATATATATAGATCGATAGATAGATATATATCTATATATATGCTGTATATTATAATTATATATATATATATAGATATCTATATATATATATATATAGATATATATATATCTAGATATATAGATATCTATATATATATATATATAATTATAATATACAGCATATATACAGTCTATATATATATATATATAATTATAATATACAGCATATATACAGTCTATATATATATATATAGACTGTATATATGCTGTATATTATAATTATATATATATATATAATTATAATATACAGCATATATATAGATATATATATATCTAGATATATATATATCTATATATATATATATAATTATAATATACAGCATATATACAGTCTATATATATATATATAGATATCTATATATCTAGATATATAGATATCTATATATATATATATATAGATATATATATATCTAGATATATATATATCTATATATATATATATAGATATATATCTATATATATATCTATATATATGCTGTATATGTATTTACAGTGGGGAAAATAAGTATTTGATACACCACGGATTTTGCAACTTTTCCCTCTTCCAAAGACTGGGGAGCTCTGTAAGTTTCATCACAGGTGCTTTTTCTTTTTTTATGCTGGGGTCTGTGCGATGCCATTTCCTGGAATCCCAGCCCACCTAGTCTTCACACCTGAACCTAAAAGGAAATCTTTGGGGGGAGCTGGGGCTCCGTAACCTGAAAGATCTGTATAGAGGAGTGGTCAAGTCCCCTGGTCAAGAACTACAGGAAACGTTTGGCCCCTGTAATTTCAAACAAAGGTTTTCGCACTAAATATTAATTTCTATTTTTCTATTGTATCAAATACTTATTCCATGCAATAAAATGCAAATTAATTACTTAAAAGTCATACAATGTGATTATTTTTAGATTTTATATATAATTGTTAAAAGCTAACAAATAATTCTGAACCACCAGGGTTTACGTTGCCAACGCCCAATACAATTGGCTCCAGCTCTCCCCTGACCCTAAAATGGTTTAGAAAATAAATATAATGAATGAATATAAATATAGTACAGTGTAAAAACAATGCTGCTGTAAACAAACTAACTGAAGCCAACAGTAAAACATACAAACTTCAGCAGACAGTCGTTAAAAAGTTCTGTTTTTGGGTGTATTGTTCACGCTGCATGTCCTTCTCATCACTTTGTTTTCATTACAAAAGGCCAATTGCAGACACTTCCATCTGTCATCGTGTGGCGTCAGAACACTTAGAGTGCAATCTTTTGCAACTCCTTTGTACACTCTCCCCCGGCTCCACTGGGTTTGTGAGAAGTGAAGTGCTTTATGAAATCAGGCCAAGACGTTGCAAGAAAGAGCAGTGAAGTAGCTGCAGATGTATAACTTGACTTTTCAACATCTGGAAGTGCAGCTAAACATCATGTTTGGCCACTGGAGACTAAGACCTCTGAGGGCTGCATGGATCTAAACGAATCTGACAACAAGCTGTAGATGTCGAGCGTCAACAAATTGTTTCTAGCGCACGTAATGAGAAGGAGGAAAGCCAAAGAAAAGATCTTTGAATTGGGCCGAGCATCAGCGAGGTCACTAACAGTCACCAGAGTCAAATGTGAATTGCAAACAAAAGAGTGTGTCATCAGCGTAGGTAAGGATTTTCACGGTGGTGTTTCTTGTTGAAGATTGAGAGTTTCTCACACACTTGGTGGCTGATCTGAGCCTGTGCTGCTGTCATGGTTTGAACTTCCCTGTGAAGTTTGAAGCATATGTTCTCCTTCTGCTTCTCCAAAAAAAAGCTCTCTCACATCCATTTGCAGAATAACATACAATTCCAAGTTCTCAGAGTTGTTGTTCTACTTCCCATGTTTCTGTGATCATCAAGATAAACACAAGTTCTTACGCATGATTTACAGCTGTTTCTGTTCCTCTACAGTATGTGTTTATTTTTTCTGAAGTTTTAGGGGAAATCATGTCAGCAGAGGAAAGCAAACAGGCTGTTTAATACCATTTTAATGTCAGATTTAACCACATGTGTGCATCTCAATCTACTTGTCATTAAAAGCATTGTACTGCAGTGCCCTGGTGCTTCTACTGTAGTCAGTAGTAGCATTTACCTCTTTGAAGTAAGTTCTAAAATACTTGAACAGCTCTACATTACACTGTTGATCCAAACTCTTTGTCACATTGAATTAGGGCCTTTTAGTCCCTTATTACATACAGTATATGGTCTAATTCTATACTTGTATTCCAGGAATATTGTTAAAAAAACATCATATCTGTATATGCCAGAAATGCCTTCAAATGCAAGATTACCGGTATGTCCTAAAACAAGCTGCCAAGTGAATACTTTGTGTTTAAAACCCCAAAAAGTATTTTATAGGAATATTTCAAAAATCACCCAAAACATGCCTTACTATAGCTTTACCATCGTGAAAAAGTGCAAAAAATAAAAAGTCCCCGATATAACTTCAAATGCAAGATTATGTCCTAAAACATGTTGTCCTAAAACAATACTTTTTGGACTTTTAAACA